AGAATCATGGAAAGTTGAGCCAAATTAAGTTAAAGATGTGAGACTATTTAGGTTCTCTATTTTTCATGAGTCTGTATTAGAACTTTGTACTTTTCTGAAAAAATTTTCTTGTTAGGTAAGATTTTTCTATTGTAGCGGTTCTCAACTGTTCTCTATTTTTCATGAGTCTGTATTAGAACTTTGTACTTTTCTGAAAAAATTTTCTAATTAGGTAAGATTTTTCTATTGCAGCGGTTCTCAACCTGTGGGTAGCAACCCCTTTGGCGGTCGAATGACCCTTTCACAGGGGTCGCCTAAGACCATCCTGCATATCAGATATTTACATTATGATTCATAACAGTAGCAACATTACAGTTATGAAGTAGCAATGAAAATAATTTTATGGTTGGGTCACAACATGAGGAACTGTATTTAAAGGGCCAGAAGGTTGAGAACCACTGATATAGATGATGTTACAGTATAAGCCCCAGATCTCAGTTGCTTAACACAACACAGGTTTGATTTTGACCCATGTAAATCCAACACAGGTGAGGCAGCTTCCCTTGGCATCTCTCTCCCAGTGTTACTTCTGAAGTGATTCCCTCTGACAATTCCTGTCTTGAAATTCCTTCCCCCCCGCCCCCCCCCCCCTTTTACACAGGCAGGAGAGAGGGAGAATGTCCACACTTAACCCTTGCCCTTAACCACCTTGAGGGGTGTGGCTTCCATTCATGATGTCATTGGCAGGAACTCAGTCACATGGTCCTAATCTAACTGCAAAGAAGCCTGGGGGGTGGAGTTTTCCAGGTTCCTGGAAAGAGAAAATGTGTGGGCAGCACAAAGATTATCTCTGCTGCATATAGTGTTCTCAATTAACTTTCTTTGAGATAATTGCAGATTCACATACAGTTGTAAGTAATAATACAGAGAGACCCTGTGTACATTTCCCCCCAATGTTACCTTTTGTAAAACTATAGTAAAATATCACAACCCAAGGTATTGACATTGATACACCAATCTATCTTATTCATATTTCCCCAATTGTATTTGTACTGATGTGTGTGTGTCTGTGTGTGTGTGTGTGTGTGTGTGTGTGTACGCATGCATTAGGCTCCATACCATTATATCTCCTTATTAGGTTCATGTATCTATTACCAATTCCAACATTACAAGAATTTCTTTTGTTGTCCTTTTATAAGCACACCAACCTCATCTGCCCCCAACCCCCATTCTCCATTTCTCATCTTTACCCCCTGGCAACCACTAATTTGTCTTATGTTTCCATAATTTTGTCATTCCAAAATGACAATGGGATCCACATTCCAAAATATAAGTAGAATCATATAGTATACTAGAGGCCCGATGCAGGAAATGTATGCAAGAGTAGGCCTTCCTTCCCCCGGCTGCTGGCACCGGCTTCCCTCTGGCACCCGGGACCCGGGCTGACTTTCCTCTAGCCCAGGTTTCGTCTGGAAGGATGTCCGGAATGACATCTGGAAGGATATCTGGTCTAATTAGCATATTACCCTTTTATTATTACAGATAACCTTTGTAATTGACTTTTTTCACTAAACCTACTTCCCTGGAAAGTTGTCTAAGTTGTTGCATGCATCAATAGTTTGCCCTTTTATATTCCTGAGCAGTATTGCATGGTTTGTGTGTGTGTGTATATATATATACACATTTACCTGTTGAAGTGAATCCAGGCTGATTCCAGTTTAGGGCTCTTACAAATAAAGTTGCTATGAACATACCTGTATAGGTTTTTGTGTGAACATGTCATTTCAGTGGGGTCTATGCTCAAGGGTGCAATTGCATGTTGAATTTTATAACAAACTGTCAACTGTTTTCCAGAGTGGCTGTATCACTTTACATTCCCATCCACAATGTATGAGTGATCCAGTTTCTCTGCATTCTGGCCAACATTTGGTGTTATCACTATTTTTTTTTTTTAATCTTAGTAATTCTCAGTGTATGGTGATAGCTCATTGTGTACTTTAACTTGCATTGTCTCTTTTGACTAGTGATGTTGAACATATTTATATATTTTTACTTGCCATCTGTGTGTCCTCTTAGGTGAAATGTCTGTTTATGGCTTTTGCTAATGAGATTTATTATTTTTAACTGTTAAGTTTTTAAAGTACTTTATATTTCTAGATGCGGATTGTTTGTGGAATATGTGGTTTGCAAATATTTTCTCCCACTCTTTAGTTTGACTTTTAATTCTCTTCACATAAACTTTTACTAAGCAAAAGTTTTTAATTTTGATGACCACTAATTTATCAACTTTTTTTCTTTAGGGGATCATGCTTTACTGTCAAGTCTAAAAACTCTTTACTCTGAAATAGTTTTTTTTTACATGCATATTAATATTTATTCTGTGTCTTTCATGGTCTTCCCTTTATTACTAATGATGTTTTATATTCTCTCTTTCTGTTTTCCTGATAGTTCTTGCTAAATGTTTGCCTACTTCTTTTCACCCAATATTTGGCTTACTTTGTTGTTACCCCACATTTTTTTATTTTAGAATTTTGTCATTTTATCATTAATCTCATCTTTCTACTTTTTCTAATATCTGCCTTTTTAATAAATACATTTACGAGTATAAAATTTTCTGTAATATTACATTAGTTTCAATTGGTAAGTTTTAAAATATACTATATCTGTTCTTTACAAATGATTAATAGAGGAAATATTTAAGGGTAAGGTATTAACTTACATGCTTTAGTTATGTGTTCACTATTTTGTGGGTTTTATTGCTAATTAAATTTATAATTTGCTTACAAACTCATTTATGATCAATTTAGTATACTCTCTTTTGGCAGTAAATTAATTTTCAATTATGAAATTAATTAAATTATTTTAAATTTAATGATAATTTACTAATATATTTTTACTACAAATCTGATCGAAATGCATTATTTCAAAACTTCTTAGCTATAGTTTTATTGTTGGATTGCCAGTATGATTGTAACATTTTAAAATTGAATTTATTGGACTTATTTATTGGTTAATAAAATTATATAGGTCTCAAGTGTGCAATTCTGTAATACATCATGTGTGTATTGTATTGTGTGCTACCACCCAAAGTCAAGTCTCCTTCTGTCACCATATATTTGGCCCCCTTTATTCTTTACTACCCTCACCTTCCTTCCCTCTGGTAACCACCATACTGTGGTCTGTGCCTATGAGGTTTTGTTTATTTTGTCTTTCTTGCTCATTCATTTGTTGTTTTCAGTTTTATAGAACACACTAGATGCCCAGTGCATGAAATTCATGCACTGGAGGGGGGTGTCCCTCAGCCCAGCCTGCACCCTCTCCAATCTGGGACCCCTCGGGGAATGTCCTACTGTCGGTTTAGGCCCGATCCCTGTCAGTCAGACATCCCTCTCACAATCTGGGACTGCTGGCTCCCAACCGCTCGCCTGCCTGATTGCCCCTAACTGCTTCTGCCTGCCAGCCTGAATGCCCCCTAACCACTCCCCTGCCAGCCTGATCGATGCCTAACTGCTCCCCTGCCGGCCTGGTTGCCCCCAACTGCCCTCCCCTGCCAGCCATCCTGTGGTGGCCATCTTTGACCACATGGGGGCCGCCATCTTGTGTGAGGGCATGGTGGTCAATTTGCATATTACCTCTTTATTATATAGTATATGAATGAGATCACATGATTCTTGACATTTTCTGTCTGACTTATTTTGTTTAGCATGATATTCTCCAGATCCATTTATGTTCCCAAATGGCAATATTTTGTCCTTTCTTATGGCTGAGTAGTATTCCTTTGTATATATGTAACACATATTCTTTATTCAATCATCTTTCAAAGGACATTTCAGTTGTTTCCATGTCTTAGCCATTGTGAATAATGCTGCAAAGAACAGAGGAGTGCATATATCTTTGCAAATAAATGTTTTCCATTATAGGGGGATAAACACCCAGAAGAGAGGTTACTGGGTCATATAGTAATTGTATTCTTAATTTTCTTATGACACTTCTATATTGTTTCCCAGAGTGGCTGTATCAGTTTAAATTCCCACCAGTAGTGAATAAGGGTGCCTTTTTTTACACAACCTCTTCAACATTTGTTATTACTTGTCTTCTTGATAACAGCTATTCTAACAGGTGTGAGGTGGTAGCTCATTGTAGCTTTAATTTTTATATTCCTAATAGCTAGTGAAGGTGAGCATCTTTTCATACATCTCTTGGCAATTTGTATGTCTTTTGATCAGGTTCTCTGCCCATTTTTTAATTGGATAGTTTGTTTGGTTTGGTATTGAGTTCTATGAGTTCTTTATATATTTTGGACATTAATCACTTGTCAGAGGTATTGTTTGAAAATATCTTTTCCCATTTGGTTTGTTGCCTTTTTGTTTTGTTGACAGTTTCTTTTGCTGTGAAGAAGCTTTTTAATTTGATATAGTCCCATTTATTTATTTTTGCTTTTATTTCTCTTTGCCTTTGAGGTCAGATTAATAAAATCCTCTTTAAGACCAAGGTCCAAAAGTTTATTAACTATGTTTTTTCCTATGTAATTTATTGTTTCAGGTCTTATATTTAGGCCTTTGATCCATTTTGAGTTAATTTTGTATCTGGTGACAGACAGCAGTCTAGTTTTATTCTTTTGCATGTGGCTTTCCAATTTTCCCAGCACCATTCACTGAAGAGGCTTCTTCCTCTCCGCCCCCTTGTGTCTTTCATCAAAAATTATTTGCCCATATACATGTGGATGCATTTCTGGGCTTTCAATTCTCTTTTATTGGTCTGTGCATTTTTTATGCCAATACCATGCTATTTTGATTATGCAGCTTTGTAGTATAATTTGAAGTCTGGGAGTGTGATACCTCCAACTTTGTTCTTTTTCTCAGGATTGCTTTGGCTTTTTGGGTCTTTTGTGGTTCCATACAAATCTTGTGATTTTTTGGTTCTGTTTCTTTAAAAATTTTGACGGGGGTTGCATTAAATGGGTATGTTGCTTTGGGTAATATGGCCATTTTTAATTATGTTGATTCTTCCAATCCACAAATATGGATTTATCAAAGGTATGTGAAGGACCTATACACTAAAAACTATAAGATATTATTAACACATATTGAAGAAGACACAAAGAAATATTTGTAACATTTTTAATACTATCATTTTATGATTATCACTTCTTTACTTTAAAAACCCACATTCCATACTGGGTAGAAGAATTTTCAGAAAATTGTTTAAGTGATTAGTTAACTGCATCTTTCAACTCAGCTATATTCTTTATAATGTTAATCTGTCTTGATATCATCCCTGAGAGATGTGTAAGATGCTCCCAACGTGGTTGTGGAATTGCTGGTTTGACCTGTAACAGCACCAATTATTCTGTTGGCTATTCCAGCTCCATGTGTTGTTTGGATGCAGGTTCATAAGTATTAGAGCTTCTTGTTGAAATGTTTCTCTGATTATCACATAACATGCAATTGTATTGCTATAGATGCTTTCAGCCCTCAATCCAACCATGTTCCCATTGCTATAAGAGCATTCTTTCAGTTGCCATTTGACTAGAAATATATGAGAAAGAATCAGCCCACAATAAGGGGCTTGTAATGCGAGCGATACATTTCTACACTTGACCATGGTATCTTGTTAAGTGGGTGGCAAATGTTCCAGATGATGAGGAGAGAGCATCTGGGTGACTCAGGTGGGCATGCTGGACAGAGCAGGGACTGAGTCCCTCCGTTTTGGAGCTGTGCCTATCTCCAAGGCTGTCAGACACCCTCTGGCTAGAGCCCATCTTGAAAGGAGACCCATGCTCTTACACTCTCCCTCTGCATTTCCTGCCCTGGCAACAATTCAAGGGTATTTGTTTACCACACAGCTCCTGGAACGATACTTTGCTGCAAAGCCCATGGACCTGGACCTGGTTGAGTTTGCAATAATGCTCATACCATCGTCCAGAGTTCTGTCACAGGCAGGTCCTATGACCAGCTGTGTTCAGCCGAAGGTACTTGGTACTGAATACGTGCATTGTTCCTGTTCATTAGTCCCTGCCTCTGTCCCTGTCCCCTTGGCATTTGGGACTCTTAGGACTACCACTGTCTCTGCCAAACCTCTACATCCTGTCTACATCAGGTTTGAGGGGTGCCGGCTAGCTTCAACTGACTCTCACATCTCTTTGGCATGAGGCTAGTGTGCCAGTGCATCAGACTCAAAGCAACAAGAAAAACGAACCATGTCCAGCCTTCATCCCAAGGCCCCCAGGTGGCCACAACTCAGGCTGGCGATTCTCAGGCAGGTGCTGGTGCCCTTTCCCAGAATGTAGCTACAGGTTGCCTTCTTGCACCCACAAAGCTGGCTCTGGAAAATGCATCCTTTTTGTCTCTGCCCCTCCTTGTTTTGCTGACCTTCACTCTACTGCTGTGTCAGAGGATCACCTTCCATTTCTACCTCTTGCACGTGTGCCTTCATTATAGACTCTGGTTCTGGGGCATTCAAGTGAAGTCTTCCTTCCCCACTGAAGCTCTGAGGGAGTCCTATGGCTGGGATTCAGCTACAGGGGACCTTGTTTCCTATCTCTGATCCTTCCCAACCCACCCTGCCAGCACCTTGTTCCTTTGTCCTGGACAGGAGACAATTTTAACTACTTTGGACAGAGGAGGCAGGGTCACAAGTGGGAGGGGACAGGGTGTCACAGCAGAGAGGAGGCTCACAGGAAGGATATGTCCTGGAGTAGATTAGTTGGACCACTGTCCAGGGAAGCTTGAGTGGAGTCTGAGCCAGAAGGGCTGTGGGTGGCTGGTTGCCTGCACCTCTGAGGTGTCTGCAATGGAGATGAGCTCTGCCTGGGCCATGTGCCTGCTTCTCGCAGGTTCCTAGGTCCGAGTGACTCACAGCTGGAGGATTAGCGATGAGGGAAAAGGCATAGAAAGTTATTTCCTTGCCACCGTGGAGTATGCCTTACACATATTCAATGTGAAGAGCAAGGACACGAATGCCTACAGGCTGGTGAGCATCCTAGACTCCCAGAGGGAGAAGGTAGGTGACTGCATCTTCCTGCGCTGCTGGCCTTCACTTGTAATAAGTCAGGGTACAAGACAGGGGCCTTAGCACAGGATCTTGTAAGCCATTTGAAGTTTATAAAATAAAATATACAAACTATTCATTTTCAGGTTTTATAAAAGCTTTTACATGGAAATTTTAAAAATTAGATCAATGTCTACTCACATGCAATATTTTTTCAATCTTTATGTCATTGTTTAATGAAAAATGACATCAAAATGTAGTCTATGAGGGGAGAAAGAGAAAGATGTCCAGACACACAGAGAAAATGCTTAAAAAGTTAGGGTGAGGAAAGAGTTCAAGGAAATAAAATAAAACAGGGCCTCTGCTGTGACTTCCATGAGCCCTGGGCTCCCTGATGTGATATCCACCTCTGTGGATGGATGTTATTTTACACTCTTCCCCAGACCATGGTTTTGAATCCTTAAAGGTTCTCCTTGTCATGGACTCTCTTTCAGAATGCAACCAGCGATGCCATTATCATTTGGGCTGCAGACATGAACAATGAAAACATTCACCCGAAGGAGCGCTTCTGGCTCTGTGTGTGTGAGTGTGTGAGTGTGTGTGTGTGTGTGTGTGTGTGTGAGTG